TTCTGTACATGTATTTTTTGTAGAACTTAAGGGGAAATTCGTAATCAGTAACTAAATACCTGTCTGTAAAGTTGTAAAAATTATCCATCAACGTCATGTTGTCAATGTGCAAATGAGTGTTACATAAATTAATTGAACAATGACAACATTGTCTTATATCCAACTGGATGATTAAAGATGAAAAGGGAAAAACTCAAAACAAACAAAAATCCAAGTCATACAACTTTTCCACATCAGCTTAAATTCGGTTGCCTCTCCTCTATTCGGTTACACAATTAAAATATTGTAAAGAAAGGATTCAATCACTACGCATTGAAGGCATGAAATATAAAAAATGGAAAATGGAGACGGCGAAGGATAGGCCGGAAAACAATAATACAATTTTCACGAAATCCACACAATATGTGCTGCAGAAGAAAAGGACGAATGTCCAATGCCTGTGTTCGTGGAAAATGTGTGTGTTTTCCATTTTTGTATCTTCAACCGAACGAACAAAACTTTCAAGCCTTATGTCCGGTTTTTTATTAACAAAAATTTGTACGGTTGGGAAACACAAGGACGCAGGCATAATGAAAAAAAGGAAGAAAAAAAAAACACGACACGACAGTCGCCTGTTAAAACTTGTACTGTGTTCCGATTTTCGGGGAAAATGGTGTTGGCATGGTTTTGGCAACAGATGATTGGGGAGATTTAAAGGGACAGTGTTGGGATTTCTTTCTCCGAAAATTTATTTATAAATTTTGCAAAAAGGGGATTTTTTAAACTATGAATTAATGTTTTCCAAATGAAATGGAAGTGAGGAAGAAGTGTACAGGGTGATATAAAAAACCGCAACAAAGTCAAACACAATAATTTTTACATTGTTTTCTTAATTTTATTGAATGAAAGCAAAGAATGTTAGAAATAGCATAAAATTTGAGAATAAGTTTAGATTTGTTCGAATTGGTCACCATTGGCACGAATTATGGCCTTCAAATGACCAATGAAACAGTCACACGCTGCCCGAATGTTGCTCTGCAGTATTTTGGCCCATTCCCGGCGAAGTGCTTGCTTGAGGTGATCGACACTTTGGTATTTTTTAGTGCAAACCTTGCTTTCCAAAATACCGCAGACATAATAATAATAGTCCAACGGATTGATATCGGGAGATTTTGACGGCCATTTTACGCTAGAAATGAAGCGAGGAACCCCATTTTGTAACCATTCTTGGGTGGCGCCTGCTGAGTGCGATGGTGCTGAGTCTTGTTGGAATATCCAAGGTCTGCGGTCAAAATGTTTGCATGCCCAAGGCTTTAATACACCCTCCAGAATATTTTCGCAATAATATTCGGCATTTATACTGATGCCACAATCGATTAATACGACCGGAAAAAGACCGTGGGCTGTTATGGCAACCCACACCATCACCATGTCCGGCACTTGAGTTCTGGTGACCAACCGAAGGTGCACATTGACCTCCCTTGCAAGTAAACACGATCATTTTGTTTGTCTACAAACTGCAGGACAACGAATGTTTTCTCATCCGAGAAACACAAATTCAGCAGTTCCCCATTTTCGGCCAAGCGAAACAACTTTTAAGCTCTTTTGAGTCTATTTTCTTTCTGCACTTTTTGGAATTTCAATGGCTTAACACCGAGCTGATTTTTAATATTTGCCGAATGGAATATTGCGATATGTTCAGCTCACGAGCCATTTTTCGGCCACTGCGACGCGGGTTTCGATCAAGTCGTTTCTTTACTTTTCGAATCATTTCTGCTGATGTTACTGTTTTCTTCCGACCACTTCCTTGACGTCGAGCTACGCTACCAGTATCACGGTAATGAGTGATGGTACGAAACACAAAAGATTTATTCTTATCTAAATGCTGGAGTGCTCTACGATAGTCACTTGTGATTTTCCAGCCGAATATAAAGAAATCACACTATCACGCTTGAATTCCATCACGAATAATTTTTTTCTGGAAAATTCCCACTAAAATGCTTTCGTGCGCTTGTAAACAATGCAATGAGCTGTCACTGGAATAATTTTAACAGCTGTCGGACGAGTGGCTTGGAAATGACAGCAGTCTGAAGTTGGTTGCAGTTTTTTCATCTCACCCTGTATTTAAACGAGTCATAGAAATGGTGGCCAATACGAAAAAAATTAAATTTAAAATTGTCATATAAGGTATACGTTTCCTGGAACCAAAAAGAAAAAACGTTAATTAAATCGATAAGGTGGCACAAATTTAAATATTATTTAAAAACTAAGACTATAAGAAACATTTAAATTTCCACTTAAGTTATCGAATTTAACTCGCCTGAATTAGACGAAAATTAAAATTTTTCTTGCATCGCCTGAATTAGACCAAAATTAAAATTTTTCTTGCCTTTTAATCGAATTATTCCTTGCCCTTAAAGTTTTAGATTTTCCATACCATAACCTTTTTTATTACGTTAAATTAAAATTTATCAGATTTCAATTTGTTTTCACAATTTACAACCAGCAACCCATTTATTATTGCATTAACGCCGCGCAAAATTTATGATATCTTTGGATTTATGTTTGACAATAACAGAAATTTTTAATTCATTAACACAGCGTGGCTGTCATTTACAAGTAATAACAACAACAACAGCTCACTCACAAATAAATAAAAAAGGGTCAAAATTAAATTATGATGTTATTAATATTAATTAAAAATGTATTAAATGAAAATTCTTGAATAAACTCGATGACAATCAAAGCCAGAATAATGGCAGAATAACAGGCAAAAACAATTATTATGGATTACTGATAATGTTAATAAAAAATTAAATATAAGTTATTAAAAAATTAAGCGAAAATTAGGAAAAAATATTTTACAAAAATAATTTAAACAGTTCACATTAAAACTTATATCCAGGGTGATATGAAAAAACTGCAACCAATTTTAGACTGCTGTCATTTCTAAGCCACTCGTCCGACAGCTGCTAAAGTTATTCCAGTGACAGCTCATTATATTATTTACAAGCGTACAAAAGCATTTTGGTGAGAATTTTCCAGAGAAAAGTTATTTGTGATGGAATTCAAGCGTGATAGAGTGGTTTCTTTATATTTGGCTGGAAAACCATAAGTGGCTATCGTTAGAGCACTCCAGCATTTAAATGTGAATAAATATTTTGTGTCTCGTACCATCCCTCGTTACCGTGATGCTGGTACCGTATCTCGACGTCAAGGAAGTGGATGGAAGAAAACAGCAACATCAGTAGAAATGGTTCGAAAATAAAGAAACGACTTGATCTAAATCGGCGTCGCAGTGGCCGAAAAATGGCTCGTGAGCAAATATTGAAGAATGAGTTTCTTATCCCACCCTGTATATAAATGGGTAGTGACTGACTGACTACGACTAGACAAAACGGCTGAACCTAGAATTTTAAAATTTTGCCAGTGTTTGTGCTTAGGGATGTGATTTGTAATAAACGCGTACGAATAATGTACTAAAAATTGAGTATTTTGTATCGGACAAACGGAACGAGCTAGAATTCTGAAATTTGGAATGAGAGTCGTTGATGGAGTGCACGATAGATGTACCATGGGGGTTTTTGGAAATTCGAAATTAATGTTACAAAATTTTCTAAAATGGTACGGAACTACAAAAATGGTACCATTTGGTATTGTGTGAACGGATAAAGCCAAAACGAATAAAAAAGCAGATACGTTCTGCCGGGCCAAACATTTAACACCCTCCACCATTTAGAAATTAATTGAAAAATTTCAAACACTACAATTGTACGAAAAGTACTAAATAGCATTAAATTTGGTGCTGGGTGAAGGAATCGGTTCACTTCTTCTAGTACCTCCTGTACTCGTAAAGCGCGAAATTAATATCCGATTCCATTCCGACTTGGTACGTCTCAATATTTCCAAAAACACAAGTTCTCTTATAATATGGTAGAGATCGGACCTTTCCTTCTGGTAGCTCCCCCACAAAGGCACAAAGTTTTGAATAACCAAAACTATTATAAAATCCGAAACAAGCATCTGATCTATTCATACTTCACACATCCCATTACTTTCACTAACACAAGATCTCCTCTGAAGATGGAATATATCGGTCCACTCCTTCTGGTACCTCTCCCACAAAGATTAAAGGTGGAATACCCACGAAGTTCATAAAACGCAAAATTAACCCAATTCCGTTCAGATTTGGCACATCTCAATATTTTCATCAACACAAGATCTGTTATAAAGATGGTAGAGATCGGACTATTTCGTTTGGTATCTCCCACACATAGGGTTCAAGATTTTGAAAAACAAAACGCTCAAAGAAATAAACGAAATAAACACCCAATTCTCTTCCAATTTCACACATCCAAACATTGTTGCTAACTCAAGATCTGCTGTGAAGATGGAATATGTCGGTCTCCTCCTTCTGGGACCTCACTCAATTTTCAATAGTTTTATCTGTCTTAACTTGTGAAACAAGTCACCGATTCTTTACAACTTGTTATATCTAAATATTTGTCCAATCATATATCTGATACGAATATGGAATTAGTCGGAATTTATGATTTCGCATAGAATTATATATAAATGTTCGTTGTAATTTCGCCAATACCAATATTTTTATCTGCATTAGATGAAATATGAAAATGGAACACTCCGGTCGACAATATCTGGTACCTCAAGATCACATATCTCATATAAAGTGAACGAAGTAGCCAATATAGACCAAACCTGGCACGTCGCAATATTTATATCATATTTATTTAGGTCTGATATGAAATGGTCAAAATTGGCCCATTGCTTTGGAACCTACTTCATAGAGGGTCAAAATTTTGAATAATCATAATAGAAGTCAAAATATATTTAAATAATCGACATTTGGCTGAGCATATACATCTGTCGGCAAACCCGGCCTATACTTTATAACTTGATTTTTTTATTTTATTAGTTTTAGCACTTAAAAATACCTCCCATTGATATGTAGCTAAATACGTTTTCTTCATCAATTTGTTTTCCATTTTGTTCCGTTTCAGATGCTGGTAAATTGGTTTACGATTTGCCTCGTCGCAATACTATTAATAGTGACCCATGGAAGTGAGAGAAAATGCCCGGTGGAGTGTACGTGTGGCCTGGATGAGGAGAAACGCTTTCAAACTGTTTGCACAAAAGGTAAGCGAGTCCTTCAATACATTTACACTCACCCGCCCACATCTACAATATTAGCCATAATTACCAGCAAATAATTTATATTTGAAAGCAGCAACAACAACAACAAAAACAACAAAGTGTAAAAGGAAAATGTGATTATAAATAATGTAGGGCATAGAGTAGAGAAGTAGGAGGAGAATGAAAGAACTTGGTAAAATAAAGACATTAAAATAAAGCAATTACAAACGGAAACGGAACAAACAAAAGTAAAATAGAAAGCAGAAGAAGAAGAGAAAAGCAGAGGATATAAAACGTTTTAAATGGATAATTATTTGTATGGCAAACGGAAAATGAACAGTGATGGGGGAAAATAAAACAGCAAGGGAACAATGGTCAGGAGGTAGGAGTGTATTAGGAGACCATTTAGCTTAAGAAGAAGGCTGTACATCAAGAAACTTTATTTAACATAGAAACATTCCTAGAAAAAAATTGAAACCCATCACAAGGGCCACGTCAATGTTTAAAAGGAAATCCAAAGTTTTTTGTTCCCACCGACCGTCTTCAAATACAACTAATGATAATTTTATGCATCTCCTTTTTTTAGCTATTTAACATTGAAGGTGTTAGCTTGTAAAATAATGTAAAAAGTGGCACAACATCATTCAAAGCATCAAATTTTTTTTACAAAAAAAAAAAAAAAAAATAAATAAATAAATAAATTTAAATCCTCAATGCCACCATAAAACTCATTCCCAGCATTTGAGTTTCATAAAAAATGGATGGGTTGTTCAGGGTAAATCTCGACAAAAAATATTTTTTTCAAAGGAAGACTGTTGGCTTTTGACAAAAAATGGATGTAGTTTTTTTCCATGGAAAGCCTTTTGGACTTTTTTTAAGTGAAACCCCTGCAGCGCCAATGTTTGTTCTCTGGCATTATATGTTTTTATTTTCGTGGAAATTGTTTTGATCTGTTCTTCAAAAGGAACTTGGTTTTATTGCTGTGGAATTTATTCATCAATGAATTTATAGACAGGAATTATGAAATTGCATATCCATGCCATGACTTTTTGTCAGGAGTGTGGACGATTTTTATACCCTACTCCACATTGTGGTAAAGGGTGCAATTTTATTGTGCACTTGTTTGTAAAATTGAGAAGGAAAAGAGATAGACCCATAGTTACTTTTGAGGATCTTCATAGAATCACTTTCTGAGTCGATTAATGCATGCCAGTCCGTCCGTCCCTCTGTCCATGTATTTTTGTGACCAAGATGCAGGTCGCATTTATTATCCGATTAAGATGAAATTTTCCAAATTTTATTTGTTTGGCCGAAGGACGAACCCTATTGAAATTAGTGAGAATCGGTTCAAATTTATATATAGTTCCCATGTGCACCAAATGGCCAATATTATTCTAAATGATCTGCATTTTGGAACATCCGACCAAATTGGAAATTGGTTCAGAAATAGCTATAGCTCCCATATACAGGGTGAGATAAAAAAACTGCAACAATGTCAAATGCCATATTGTTTACATTTTAATTTTTTATTTTATTAAATTAAAGAAAAATATCGGAAATAGCATCAAATTTTAGAATAAGTTTATATTTGTTCGAATTGGTCACCTTTGGCATAAATTATGGCCTTCAAACGGACAATAAAACCGTCACACGCTGTCCGAATATAGCTCTGCGGTATTTTGGTACATTCTCGCTAAGCGTTTGCTTGAGGTGATCGACACATTGGTATTTTTTAGTGTTAACCTTGCTCTTCAAAATACTCCAGACACAATAGTCCAACGGACTGGTAACCGGAGATTTTTGTGAACAACGTGCGCTGGAAAGAAAGCGAGGAACCTGATTTTGTAAACATTCTTGGGTGGCGCATTTATTTATTCTGATCCCACGGTTGATTAATACGAGCGGAGAGCGACCATCGGCTGTTATGGCGGCCCACACCATCACCATGGCCGGTTGACCTCTTTGGCAAGTAAAGACGATCATTTTGTTTGTTTACAAACTGCTGGGCAACGACGGTTTTCTCATCGTGGAAAACCAAATTCAGCAGTTCAAGACTTTCGGCCAACCGAAGCAACTCTTTAGCTATTTTGTGTCTATTTCCTTTCTATTGCGGTGCAAGTTCTTGCACTTTGTGGAATTTCAATAGGGTTACTCTGAGCTCTTTTTTTTTGATATTTGCCGAATGGATATGTTCAGCTCACGAGCCATTTGTCGGCCACTGCGACGGCCACAATCGATTAAGTCGATTCTTTTCTTTTCGAACCATTTCTGCTGATGTTGCTGTTTTCTTCCGACCACTTAATGGTAACGAGAGATGGTACGAGACGCAAAAAATTTATTCACATTTAAATGCTGGAGTGCTCTAACGATAGGCACTTGTGGTTTTCCAGCCAAATATAAAGAAATCACACTATCACGCTTGAATTCCATCACGAAAAACTTTTTTTTTGGGAAATTCTCACCAAAATGCTATTCTACGCTTGTAAACAATATAATGAGCTGTCACTGGAATAATTTAAACAGCTGTCGGACGAGTGGCTTAGAAATGACATTAGTCTGAAGTTGGTTGCAGTTTTTTCATCTCTCCCTGTATATCTTCTACCGATTTCGGGTTAATTGTGCACTAAGTGGCCAATATCAGTTGAAATGACCTGAATTTTTCACATCCGACCGAATTCAGTCTAAAAGCAAAGACATCAAATTTGGAGAAAATCGGTTCAGATATAGCTATAGCTCCCATATATATGTGTCATCCGATTTGTGGTTTTAAGTCCGTCACATACATAATAATGCCTTCGCAAAAATAATATTTGGTACCAAATAACTTATGGAGCTCAAAAATATCTCTGTCAAGTTTTATCGAAATCGCAAAAGATTAGGATAAAGCTGCCATATATATATATTTATCCGATGTCAGGTTTATTGTGCACAAAGTGGCTAATATCAGCTCAAGTGGCCTCAATTTTGGCAAGTATTTTGAATTTGGAGAAAATCGGTTTCATCCGATTTATGGTTTTAAGTCCCTCACAATCGCTTCTTATCAGATGTGAAATACAGCTCAGAAAAAATGTGTTTAAAACTTTGTTAAGATCGGTTCAGATCTTATCATTATGCCATATCAGGTTTATGGCTAATATAAGCCCAATCAAACTTAAAATACTCCAAACACATAGTGTTGAAAGGCATAATAAAATTCCTAGAACAATTAGATACTGCTAACTCAAAAACACAGGGTTATGATACTCTCTGGTAAATGAGTGATATCTACGTAGATACTGAGTTGCCTAATATTTCCTGCATTAATTATCTTACTAACTTTTAACTGATACTAAACATTTATGTTTTTTTCCTTTCTTGCAGGTGGCCTTTCACATTTTCCCTTCGAAAATATTGACAAGGATGTACAGGTCATTATTATCCAAGGACCAAGAAATTCCGTAACGATTGGTCAATTCTTGCGGAATTTTCTCAAGTTGGAAGAAATGCGTATAACCGATTCCAATGTACCCGTTATTGGACCGGAAAGTTTATGGGGTCTGCAGCATTTGAAAATTCTGGGTATGTAATATTTAGAGGGAAATATTAATGAGCTATGTCTATATGTCGCCGATACGAAACTAACTGCGAACGATAAAGACCGGTTCAAATTTTTAATGTAACCCAAAGAATTTTAAACTTTTTAAAAAGCTGGTTTGAAATGGGAAATGATTACTAAACTAATAACAAAGTGCGAAGAATTCAGCTGAAATTGATTTTCTTAAATTAATATCCAAAGACAAACTCAGCTATACCTGATTTTTTCAAAAGTATACCTACAAATATCATAGCCTTTATAAAAATCTCAGAATAAGCAATAGTTGTAAATCAAGCTTCAAATTTTGGCAATATTTACTTTTATGTCAGGGCTGTATTTTGTGCATGAATAAGGAGCTGTAGATCTAGGAAATTAGAACTCAATAAATATTTTTGGAAATTTTCGATCTCTTTTATACAAATTTGGCATATTCGGTAATAGATCATCGAGAGATGAAAAAACTGCAACCAATTTCAGACTTCTGTCATTTCGTAGCCACTCGTCCGACAGCTGTTAAAATTATTACAGTGATAGCTCATTATATTTTTTACAAGCGTACAAAAGCATTTTGGTGAGAATTTTCCAGAAAAAAAGTTATTAGTGATGGAATTCAAGCGTGATAGTGTGATTTTTTTATATTTGGCTGGAAAGCCACAAATGGCTATCGTTAGCACACTCCAGCATTTAAATGTGAATAAATCTTTTGTGATAAATCTCGTTACCGTGAGGCAGGTAGCGAAGTCCGACGTCGTGGAAGTGGACGGAATAAAACAGCAACATCAGCAGAAATTGTTCGAAAAGTAAAGAAGCGACTTGATCGAAACCTGCCTCGCAGTGGCCGAAAAATGGCTCGCGAGCTGAACATATCGCAATATTCTATTCGGTAAATATAGAAAAATTTCATCGGGGTAAAGCCATTGAAATTTCAAAAAGTGCAAGAACTTACATCGCAACTGAAAGAAAATAGATTCAAAAGAGGTAAAGAGTTGCTTCGCTTGGCCGAAAGTGGCGAACTGCCGAATTTGGTTTTTTGCTCCGATGAGAAAACATTCGTTGTTCAGCAGTTTGTAAAGAAACAGAATGATCCTGTTTACTTGCCAAAGAGATCAGCTGTAAACTGAAAATGTGCACCTTCGGTTGGCCACCAGAACTCAAACGCCGGCCGGCCATGGTGATGGTGTGGGCCGCCATAATTGCCGATGGTCGTTCTCCGCTCGTATTAATCGACCGTGGCATCAGAATAAATACCGAATATTATCGCGAAAATATTCTGGAGGGTGTATTAAGACCTTGGGCATGCAAACATTTTGGCCGCAGACCTTGAACATTCCAACAGGACTCAGCACCATTGCACTCAGCACGCGCCACCCAAGAATGGTTACTAAATGAGCTTCCTCGTTTCATTTCCAGCGCACAATGGCCACCAAAATCTCCGGATACCAATCCATTGGACTATTGTGTCTGGAGTATTTTGGAGAGCAAGGTTGGCATTAAAAAATACCAAAGTGTCGACCACCTCAAGCAAGCGCTTCAAGGGAATGGGACAAAATGCCGCAGAGCAACATTAGGACAGCGTGTGACGGTTTCATTGGCCGTTTGAAGGCCATAATTCGTGGCAAAGGTGACCAATTCGAACCAGTGTAAACTTATTCTAAATGCTATTTTCGACGTTTTTTGCTTTCATTCAATAAAATTTAAAAATTATGGCGTTTGACTTTGTTGCAGTTTTTTATCTCACCCTATATATTATTTATATCCACTCAACCAAAAAATTCATTCATTTTATAATTTCGCTTCCTAATTTATATTTTTTTCCAGACATTGTAAAAAGGTTTCCTCTGACAATCGTCATCTTTTTCCTACTTCATTACCAACTAATATTCTATAACAACAGAATTTACTGTTTATTATACTGATTATGGCTTTATTATCTACTATAAACAGTTACTAACTTTTTTATGGTCCTGCCATTTATTTTCGCTTGGCAGCAATAAAAAAAAATCAAATATTATGGTATTTGATTTTGCTCACGGTGTTTTTTATTTATTTAACTTTTGTTGCTTTCGATTATTTTCATAGAATTTATTTATTCTTTTTCTCAGAAAGCAATCACCAAGTCCGTATTAGCTAAAGTTCTTCCTCGTTTTAAGAAAAGAAAAAAAAAACAAAATGAAAAGTAAACAAATAATCCAAATCTAGGCCATTTTACAATCTAAAGGCAATCATCGGAACATTGTCGTCTTTTTTTCTGCATTTTAGGGGAGGCAAGACAAACAAACTGTTCTTCTATTTATTGCATTTGTTTACAACCTGCCGGCCTCTTTGCTGTCATTCTTGGCTAAATTGTCAATTTGATTTTAAATTTCTAAATTTTGTTTTGTCATTTCGAAATGTCAATAAACTGTCAGAAATGATTAGTCTAGGTGGGAGTCGTTTTTATTCATAGACATAAACTTTGCTATTCTTGATTACATTTGTTGGATATCATATAGTAAAATTCTGGCTCTCCATCTAGGATTGTATTTGCAGATTGGAATTTAGATTATTGAAATACCAAAATGTTATCATTGAAATACAAAATAAAAAAAACAACGTTTACATATTTTGCATTTCTTTAGAATTAAGGCTGTTGCCGTCTAAATGGTTTGCAATTTGCATTTAAACATTGTTGGGTGCGTCAATATGTAGTTCATGTGTATTCAATTATCTGTTGTACCTAAAAAAATAAAAAAATGGAAAATTTTTAGAAGACTGTTAAATTCTTTTTAAATATTAAAGGAATAATTAACAAATATTAGTAAATTGTTTAATATTTTTATCGTAGACTTTTTAAAATCCAAAAAGACTGAATTTTTTAATTCTTAAAATAATAAAAAAAATAAATAAACAAATTAAGGCTACAATTAAGATTTTTATACCCCACAACGCCATGTGTGGGGGGTATTATAAGTTTGAATGGGCCAAAAATTATGTAACACCTCGAAATATTGGTTTCCCACATATGAAAGAATATATGGATCTTCCTATCTCGCCGAGCAGAGTCTATCTAGCTATGTATGTCCGTCCGTCTGTTCATGTTAATTTACAGGTCGAAATTATGACCCGATCCTAGCATGGAGGTGAGATTGGGGTCAGAATAGAAGCCTCATAGAATTTGTTTTTTTTTTTTTTTTTTGTTATTTTTTTCCTCCACAGCTGTAATATGCACTCTGTAACAACAATATTTGGGGAAATATATCAAATACAGCTCAGAAATACATTTGCTAAATTTTATGAATATTGGTTCAGATTTGTATATATCTCCCATATATAACTTCGTCCGATTTACTTTTTATTGTGTACCAAAAGTCTAATATTTCACCAAATGGGATGGAATTTGGCACTTACGGCCGAATTGAGTCTAGAAGCTAGTATGTCAAATTTGGTGAGGATCGGTTCAGATATAGCTATAGCTCCCATATATACTGTTCATCCAATCTGTTATATTTGTTACCCACAGCCGTAATATGCACTCCGTAACAACGATATTCAGGGAAATATATCAAATACAGCTCAGAAATATCTTTGCCAAATTTTATCGAGATCGGTTCAGATTTGGATATAGCTCCCATAAATATTTTTATCCGTTTTCAAATTAATTGTGCACCAAATATTCAAGTTACTAATGCTTCGGCATTTTAAAAAGTTACAAATGCTTCGGCATATTTAGTCCTTTGAACATTAAATTATAATTATAATCATAGCGTGAATTCTCCCATAAAAACTTTTAACTGTTATGTGGAGCTCTACTAAATTAGCAAAGTGGTATAGGGTATCATAAAGTCGGCCCCGCCCGACTAGACTTTCTTTACTGGTTTTTATACCCTACAACACTATGTGTTGGGGGTATTATAAGTTTGATTGGGCCAGAATTTATGTAACACCTCGAAATATTGGTTTCCCACATAGGAAAGTATATATGGATCTTCCTAGCTCGCCGAGCTGAGTGGATCTAGCTATGTATGTCCGTCGGTCCGTCTGTCTGTCTGTCCGTCTGTCCATGTTAATTTGTAATCACGCTACAGGTCGCAATTATGGCCCGATCCTAACGAAATTTTGCACGAAGGTGGGGTTAGGGCTAGAATAGAAGCCTATTTCTTTTGGAGATGATCGCCAAATGTTTAGGGGTTGAAATGGACCAAATACTGAAAAAATGTCTGATTTTGCAGTAGCTATACAGGTCGCAATTATAGACCAATCGACGCGGAATTTCGCAAGTAGCTAGAGTTTAGGGCGGGGAAGAAGTCTACCAATTTGGGTGGTCATCGGATAATATTTAGAGGGTAAAATAGACCATATCTTTTATGTTGAAAAAATTCAAAAAATTTCATTAAACCGCGAATATTTTAAATCCCGGCGAAATCACAAAGCCATGTCAAGGTTACTTCTGATCTTTACATTGATGTTAACATCCAACAAATCGGATATATAGCAAAATATGTGCGATATATATGTCTATCAAAGAAGATATGCTTGAAAGATCTTTTATATGTCGAGAACGCCTGAACTGATTTCGACAGTTCTCATTAATTCAGAATGGCCTCTTGGCAGGAAAGAAAAAACGTCTAAAAAATCGCATAAAAATATATCTCTAAAGAAGAAAATATTGATTTTGTAAAATTTTCTCATATTTTTTCTATTTTGTCACATTTTTGGCATATTTTCATTTTGAATTAAACATTTGGTAATATTTCTACAGCTAACAAAACTAAGTAGTTAGGATATCAGGATATCATATACAGATCGCATTTATGGCCCGATCTTTACGAAATTTTGCATAGGGATAAGATGAGGGTCAGAATAGAAGCCTACTCTTTTTGGAGATGATCGCCATATATTTAGGGGTTGAAATTGACCAAAAAACTGCAAAATTGTCAGCAGGTCGTAATTATCGTCCGATCCTCACGCACATTTGGATAGGGATTACCGGACATTGCAAAAGCCAAGCAGTTTTGGATGGCCATCCAAAAATATTCAATGTCTGAAGGAGTTTGCCAACTTTTGTAGACAAAATACGAAAATGTCGATTCCAGTGACTTTTTGGAGAATTCACAAATACAGGAAAGACGCACTTCTGACTATTTCGTTAAGGCTGATTTCGTTGAAGAATATAGTCAAATGTCTGTATCTCATATAGATACGTTTCAGTCAAAAACCAATAATAAATGTTAATCTTTTGCCACTTCTGAGAGATTATAGGTCTTTGGGAAATATTGGTTCCAGATCTAGGAAGACCATTTACGTGCAACATCTACCAATAAATTGGAAATGAGCAATTTAGTTTAAGTTGCTATTATTCGAAAATTAGAGAACGAAACCTAATGGTTTCTTTTATTATTTGTCACAATATCTTGTGCAATTCTTTCGAGTATCTCGCCTATATAAACTGTATCGTTTATTATAGTGTTGTAGGGTATTGAACGGTCGGCCCCGCTCGACTGTAGCCTTTGCTTACTTGTTAATTGTTAACTTTTGTGAACTACCAAATATATGCTATTAGAATTTGCTAAGATTTTTTTTAAGGACTATGAAAAGTATAATCCTACGTTGGTTCAGAGTATTCTTTAAGGAACACTGTGGCTACATAAATTTCTATCAACGCTATAATTCGGATTTTTAAAAATATTTTTAAGAACCAATATTTGATTCACTGAATTTAGAATTGTTATGATATTTTTTAGCTCAATAAAAAGGATGATCCTGTATTGTTAAATAATGTTTTTCTAGGACCATTAAAAATTTATATTCAAAAGACTATTCTCACAAAGTTTAAAAGAGTACATTTTCAAGGGCTATAAGGGTATTAAACTCGGATTTTGGAAAATTATTTTTCAAGGAGTAATAATGCAGTTCATATGCAATTTCTAGAATTTTTTTTAACTATAATCGTAGAGTCTTTTAAAGTAGTTTTTATATTTACTTAGATTAATTTTAATGAATACTGCATTAACATAAAATCGCTTAAACAAAAACATTCAATCCTTTGGAAATCCCCTTTTCTTTAACTTAATACAAATTATATGTATTTCCACATTTCCTCAATGGATATTAACGTATATTCTTTATTCTTCTTTTTCCTTTTCCTCTCTATTTTCATGTAATGCCGCCCAATTGGATATAAATGTGGTTATGGATCTGGCAATCATACGAACGAATAATTTCAACGCATACATGTGTGGCCGATTTATAATTGTACATCTGTATTGGAATCTGAAAAAAAAAACACACACACAATTGAATGTTTGTTATTTTTGTGCGTTAAAATAAATGAAAACCAAACCGTCAATGTCGTTGTTAACTGTGGCACATTTTCTTCATGATCTCCATTCACCAACACCATTATCATTACCATCATCGTCGTCGTCATCATCGTTGTCGTTGTTGGCATTCTGGACCTGGACGTTATTTAAAATACCACCAACATTGTCGTCCTCATCAACGCCTCATCATCTTTATGGTTGCTGTGGTTTTGTATGGCGTTGATTTAACGTGTCCGTTGGCATCATTGTTGTCATGATTACCATTCTTCTTCTTCTGCTGCTGCTCATTGGAAATGACGAATAACAACAACATACAATTGAAAAAATGCAGATTTCTCCCGGAATAACATTTCACTGGTACAACAGAGTCATTTTCGTGGACAAAATAACTTGCTGGAATTGGATTTATCGAAAAATAAAATAATTACCATGGCCAGTTCGGTATTTTGTAATTTAACGGTAAGTGGTATGAAGAAACAAAATAACAACAGCAACAACAAAATAACTGAGTAAAAATTTTGTAAATTACAATAGAGAAGCAGGGAATTTAACGTGGGATAAAAAAAAAAACAAGGACTACAAACTAATAATTAAGAAATTTTAAGGAAAGATTTTTTAAGAACATTTTTTAAGGACCATAATACGAATAGTCTTGGATTTTTATAAAGTATTTTACCTCAAAAAATTCCAAAATATATTTTAAGAACCAACAGACAGATAATCGTAGAATTTTAAAGAATATTTTTTTTTAGGGCCATAAAAGGTGTGGATTTTTGAAAGAATATTTTTTCAAGCACTATAAGATGCGTGGATTTTTGAAAGAATATTTTGTCAAGGACCATAAGATGCGAGGATTTTTGAAAGAATATTTTTTCAAGGACCAAAATATGTGTGGATTTTTGAAAGAATATTTTTAAGGACCATAAGATGTGTGGATTTTTGAAAGAATATTTTTTCAAAGACCAAAAGAGGCGTGGATTTTTGAAAGAATATTTTTTCAAGGACCATAAAAGGTGTAGATTTTTTAAATTAAATTTTTGCAAGGACCATAAGAGGTGTGGATTTTCGGAAGAATATTTTTTCAAGGACCATAAGAGGCGAGGCGTGGATTTTTTAAATAATACTTTTTTAAGGATCATAAGAGGCTTGGATTTTTTAAATAATATATTTTCAGGGATCATATAAGCGTGGATTTCTTTAAGAATATTTTTTCATGTACCATAAGCGGCGTAGATTTTTGAAAAAAATTTTTCAAGGACCATAAAGGTGTGGATTGTTGAAAGAATATTTTTTCAAGGACCATAAAAGTCGTGGATTTTTGAAAGAATATTTTTCAACGACCATAAGAGGCGTGGATTTTTCAAAGAATATTTTTTTAGAAGAATAATTTTTCGAAGACTGTAAGAGGCCTGAATTTTTTTAAGATTTTTTTGCGAGATTCAACTGGCTAATAATGGTGGATTTTTGAAAGAATATTTTTTCAAGGACCATAAGATACGTAGATTTTTTTAAGCATTTTTTTGCGAGGTCCATTTGCCCAATAATCGTGAATTTTTGAAAGATTATTTTTAAAAGGACAAACTGACCAATAAATGTAGATTTTTGAAATAATATTTTTTTAGAACCATAAAAGGCATGGATTTCACAAAGAATATTTTTGCAAGGTCCTACTGGCCAATAATCGTGAATTTTTGAAAGAATATTTTTTTAAGGATTTTTTCAAGGACCAATAGTTAGACCTGTAATAGCGGATTTTTTAAAAATATTTTTTCAATGATCAACAGACAAATAATCTTGGTTTTTACACCCTTAACCATATGGCTACAGAGGGTACACGGCCAAAACCTGCCTCATCGAAATAACTGTTTTAAACCCTTGATCTGTGTGAACCAGATCCGTTTCAGGACACTTGGAGTCGATCTAGGGCCGAACTTTGAATACCCTCCACCATTTGGAATGAATTTAGTAATTTTGAAAAAAATTAAATCCGTTAAAAATTCTGTTTAAATCTTAAAAATACCGAATATAGCCATTATATTTGGGGCTATACGATGACGTGAACCTGTATAGGCATAAGTCATTACAATACTCAAATGCGAAACTTAAAAAAAAAAAATCGGTGAATAATGTAGCTATACCGAATAAAGGGAGGTACCATTATATGCGAATATACCAAAATGTGGACCTGCACAGACAATTTTATGTCCTAGGCTGTAGTATCCCTTACGAACTTCAAATACCAAATTTGAAACAATTTCGGCACATAAAATCATCAAAATACCGAATATCGGAATGTACCATCATATGACGGCTATACCAAAACGTGGACCTGCTCAGACAATTTTCTATCTTAGGCTGCAGCATCCCTTACAAACTTCAAATACAAAATTTGAAACAATTCCACTTAATAATGCCGCTTAAATAACCAAAATTCCAAAATAAGAAGAACGTGGACCTGCACAGACAATTTTCTGTCATAGGCTGTAGCATCCATTACGAACTTCAAATACAGAATTTGAAACAATTCTGTTGAATAATGTCGCTAAAATCACAAAAATACCGAAAGCCTACATCACCCATTTTAGAGGGTATAAAAATATATCCTCAAGCGGGATTGTTTCCAATTTTTTTAGGAGATCTATATATCAAAAGTTGTAGATTTTTAGGTATCCATGATAAAAACCGTAAATTTGTGATTTTTATAAATACGATTTTTCAGGGTTTAAAAACACTAACCCTCCAAATTTTTCCATCCAGAAAGGGGCTCAGAGGTCTTCAGTCTCTAGAAGAAGACCTATCAAAAGTATTCGGTATATGCAAGCCCCATGAAAGGTCTTTTCTCTCAACAAGACCCATAGGAGGCCTTTTGGAACAACAACTCCTATAGAAGGTGTTCTGTCTTATGAAGATTTTTGGCACAGGTCCCGCTCATAGTTGTTATTTTTCAACACCCTCTTAGTTCCGAATAAATCAGCATTTCATGAAAAAAAATTCCCAAATATTTAAAAACACTAACCCTCCAAATTTTTCCATCCAGAAAGGGGCTTAGGGGTCTTCTGTCTCCAGAAGAAGACCTATCTAAAGTGTTCGGTATATGCAAGCTCCATAAAAGGTCTTTTCTCTCAACAAGACCCATAGGAGGCCTTTTGGAATAACAACTCCTATAGAAGATGTTCTGTCTTATATAGATTTTTGGCACAGGTTCCGCTCATAGTTGTTATTTTGAAACACCTCCTTAGTTACGAATAAATCAGCATTTTATGAAAAACAAATCTTCCCAAATAATCACCCTTCGCAAGCATGCATTGCGCAACAACCTTCGTAATCTTCCATTAATCTTCGAAATTCAATCAGAGAAAAAAAATCTCAACATGATATCAACTGCATTCTTCATGTCCCTGGAGTCGGTCAAACGCGGGGAGGGTATTATTTGCCAATGACATCACTTCACGCCACCTATATAAATTCCACACTCATATTCTTATGCACATGTCCTTTGATGCATTCCACAACAGGACCCAACAAGACCAACATGTGAGTCCTTTGCTGCAGTAGCATAAAAATAATTCAATGCGGTTAAGAGAGATAAAAACAGCATATCCTTAATATCTTGATATTGTTTTCTGAAAATGAGATTTAATGCAACTACTAAGGGATTTTTTCAATTTACTGACAATATTAAATCATACTCGTTTATCTTCATAACATTGTCGCACACTCTCGGCAAGGATGGTCTCAATTTTATTTTGGGAAGGGGGTCGAGCGACGTGGAGGTGGAAAACAAATTTTAATCCTTACAAAAAAGTTTTCATGCATGAGCATGTGTGAGTGTGTTATTGTGTGTATGTTGAAAACTTTCAAGTATATTAAGGGCATTTTTTCAATTTTCTTCTTTCTTTGTGTTATTTATGAGTAAAGCTTCTGGGGAAAATGTTCAGATTATGTTGTGCACTTTGCACCAGGAATGTCGAGGAGAAAAAAACGAAAGAAAGTAGTTGATGCTTTGTTCGTTTTTTTGCACGCACACACAAACAAGTTTTTTTTTTTTTTTGGTAAATGTATGACCCAATTAAAGTACATAAGTGGAAGTTTAAAAAATATATATTTTTTCTTCGTGTGTGTGGAAACTTGGTAAATTTAAACTACATATTTATATATTTTGTGAAGAAAGAGAAAACATGAAGAGATGATAACGAACAACGTGATTTAAGGGAAACAATTTAATTTGATTGTTACATTTACAAGATGGTCACTGGCCTAGGCATTTCGTAGAACATTTATAATGATTTATGATTTCCAAGCTGCTTTGATAAATGCAAAATCTTGTAACACAAGGAGTCTGAAATTGAAAATTCCTTTTGAGGATGAAAGCCATATAATGGTATCAGCGAATATTAGGGTTATATACAAGTTAAAACTAATGGAGCTAGTAATGAACTGTGTTGAAAGATCAGAAAAAAATATTTTATAATTTTAGAGAAAAAAAAAAACAAGTAAAAAAGCAGTAAGTTCGGCCCGGCCGAACTTTGAATACCCTCCACCATTTGGAACGATTTTGGCAATTCTCAAAAACAATAAAATCCCTTAAAAATTCTGTTAAAATCTTAAAAATAACGAATGTAGCTATATATTAGGGTACATACGACGACATGAACCTCCGTAGGTAATATTTGTCATAATCCATTACAATATTCAAATGCGAAACTTAAAAAAATCGGTTATAATGTCGATAAAATCAAAATACCGCATATCGGGAGGTACCGTTATATGGGGACTATACGAAGACGTTGACCTGCACAGACAATTTCCTGTTACAGGCTGTAGTATCTATTATAAACTTCAAATACAAAATTTGAAACAATTTCGGCGAATAAATTCGCTAAAATCATCAAAATACCGAAAATGGGGAGGTAACGTTATATGGGGGCTATACGAAGACATGGATCTGTACAGACAATTTTCTGTCATAGGCTCTAGTATCCATTACGAAATTCAAATTCCAAATTTGAAACTAATGCGGTGAATAATGTCGCTAAAATCATCAATATACCGATTATTGGGAGGTACCTTTATACCTTTATATGGGGGGTGGACCTACATGGCCCATTTTCAATACCAAAAGTCCTGCAGACAAAACATACATTTGAGCAAAATTTTATCAGTATCAAAATACCGAATATCGGGAGGTGCTGTTTAATGGAATCTATACGAAGACGTGGACCCGCTTAGAGAATTTTCTGACACAGGTTGTAGTACCCATTAGGGACTTCAAATACGACATTTGAAAGAATTCCGGTGAATAATGTCTATACAAAGACGTTGACCTGCACAGATAGGGGCTATATAAAAAGGTTGGCTCATATGCATTGTTTTCTGTCAGGGAATATAGACCTATTATCAACACCAAATACCAATTTAAAAATAATGCCGACGAAAATGTGCTAAAATCGTGATAATAACGAACATCGGAAGGCACCATTATAGGGGGGTTATACGAAGATCTGGATTTGTACAGGCAGCTCTCTGTCATAGAAATGGGCATCTATTATGATCTCCAACAACCACATTTCAAATAAGTCAGGTGAAAGTCTTGAAAATACCGAATATCGAGAGGTACAGCTTTATTTGGGGCTATACTAAAAATTGGACAGTTCTCTGCAAAGATGTTTCTTATATACTGGTAATGCAATCTGCCAAACTACAGTAAATTCGGTATAAAATGGAGACCAAAACTTCCAAAGCACCTTAAAACTGCCAGTACAGTCACATGAGTGCTATATCAAAACGTGGACCTCTATAAAAGATTATCAATCTTATTTATTTCATTCTGAAGGTTTGACGCATTTTATTTAATTTCGTTTCAAATACTGTTATTTTCGACAATCGAAAAATTGTAAGAAAATCTGTGAATATTGTCACAAATTATAAATGCGAGGTAGTAACGACAAAGTGTGGACCCATATGTTACTCAACTGAATTCAACGGACTCCGACAGAGTTTTATAGGTAGGTTAAGACTGCTGTCATTTCTAAGCCACTCATCCGGTAGCTGTTAAAATTATTTCAGTGACAGCTCATTATATTGTATATAAGCGTACAAAAGCATATGGTGAGCATTTTCCAGAAAAAAGTTATTCCTGATGGAATTCAAGCGTGATTGTGTGATTTCTTTATATTTGGCTGGTTAACCACCAGTGGCTATGGTTACAGCACTCCAGCATTAAATATGAATAAATCTTTTGTGTCTCGTACCATCGCTCGTTATCGTGATATTGGTAGCGTATCCAGACGTCAAGGAAGTGGACGGAGGAAAACAGCAACATCAGCAGAAATGGTTCGAAAAGTAAAGAAGCGACTTGATCGAAACGCGCGTCGCAGTGGCCGAAAAACGGCTCGTGAGCTGAACATATCGCAATATTTCATTCGGCAAATGTCGAAAAATGAGCTCGGGGTAAAGCCATTGAAATTCCAAAAAGTGCAAGAACTTACACCGCAATAAAAAGAAAATTGACTCAAAAGAGCTAAAGAGTTGCTTTGATTGGCCGAAAGTGGTGAATTGCCGAATTTGGTTTTCTCCGATGAGAAAACATTCGTTGTCCAACAGTTTGTAAACAAACAAAATGATCGTGTTTACTTGCCAAAGAGGTCAGCTGAAAATGTGCACCTTCGATTCGCCACCAGAACTCAAGCGCCGGCCATGGTGATGGTGTGGGCCACTATAACAGTCGATGGTAGCTCTCCGCTCGTACTAATCGACCGTGGCATCAGAATAAATGCCGAATATTATCGAGAAAATATTCTGGACACGTAAACATTTTGGCCGCGGACCTTGGACATTCCAACAGGACTCAGCACCAGCGCACGCGCCACCCAAGAATGGTTACAAAATGAGGTTCCTCGCTTCATTTCCAGCTCGCAATATCCACCAAAATCTCCGGATACCAATCCGTTGGACTATTGTGTCTGGAGTATTTTGGAAAGCAAGTTTGGCACTAAAAAATACCAAAGTGTCGCCGGGAATGGGCCAAAATACCGCAGAGCAACATTCGGGCAGCGTGTGACAGTTTCATTTTCCGTTTGAAAGCCATAATTCGGGCCAACAAATTTTAGGAAATAAATGTAAAAACTATGGCTTTTGACTTTATTGCAGGGTGAGACTATACAGTTATGAAAGTGTAACATAAAAACGTGAAACTCTGTAGACAATTTTCTACTACAAGGATATTATCTATTGTGAAACTTTAACTCAAAATTTTAAAAAATTCCGTTGAAAATGTGGGTAAAGACCTAAAAATCCTAGGAGGTACGGCTATGCTGAGTTAAAATAAAAATTGACTTATGTAAACAATGTTCCGTCACTAGGTCTAATTTCCATTACAAAACTTTAAGTTCAGATTTTGAAACAAATCCGCTAGAAAATACGACTTAAATCGTAAAAATCCTGAGGTATTGTTGTATAGGGGGCTATAAAAAACGGAGACATATATAGACAATGTTCTGTTGCAGGTGTATATTAAGAACATAGGGAACATAATTTGAAGCAATTCCGTAGAAAATGTGTCTAAAATCGTCAAAATACCCAATATTGGGAGATACCGTTGTAGGGGTGCAACCAATATTGCCCATCCGCGAACTTGACCTTGCTGCAGACCAACGACACTTATGTACACAATTTCAGATTCTCATCTTATCGTTTGGACTTTTGCGTGATTGCAATAGACTGACGGAAGGATTTCTTTAGGTTAAGAGAATTTTACGCTGATCAGGAATATATAAGCTTTGTTGGGTCTTAAACGATTCTTTCGATGAGTTACAAACGGAGTGACAACCTTAATATACCCTCCATACCGTGTATGGTGAAGGGTATAAAGTATATTCTTCAACTTTAGTTCATTTAACAAAATTCAGTAATAGATTAATTTTTAATTTCCAAAAAATATCTCTGAAATATTAAACATTTTTAAAGCCACTCAATTTTAACTCCAAATATATACTTTGGTTAAATTATTAATATATTTTATCCGACATATTTTTTAAATGATTTTCATGACATTTTTGTAATTCTTCTTTAATACCAATTTGTTATAAAAACTCTTTCCTCCATCTTTCCAGGAATTACGACGTCTCAATTTGGCTGACAATTCAATTGGTGAATTGGTTCAACGCATATTTTTCATGTTGAGCAAATTGAAATATTTAGATTTGAGTGGTAATCCCCTGCAAGAGCTGCCGCCAGATGTCTTTCGCGATGTGCCAGTAAGTTTTCGGAGAACGCTCACAAAAATTCTTAACGCCATGCCACAATAATGACAATGTAATATTTCTTCTCATCATTTTTTTCTCGTTATTATTAAAGCAACTGAAAGTGTTCAAATGCCGCAACTGTCAGTTGAAGAAAATCAATCCTCAGCTATACAATTTATTGCCGCAATTGACTGAGCTCGATTTGGGAAGAAATGAGGTATGTAATGTTACGAAAAGATTTAGATGGATTTTTAATGTGAACATTTTTTTGCAATTCTCTTTTTTCTTGTCTCTTTTGCTCTCCCTTTTGGTTGAACAGTTTAAATTTCTTGACAAAGATGAATTTCGTGACATCAAACATTTGAGGAAACTTCAATTGGATGGTAATCAATTGTCTGTGGTTGTCGATGAACTATTTCGTTCACAGAAAAATCTCCAGCATTTGGGTAAGTTTTTGGAGAACATTCACACACACACACACCCTCTCATACATATTGAAAACCCAATGACCAATTTGTTTGACCCAAGAACCAACCAACCATTTTTACCCCGACTCCTCCTCAAGTCAACATTGAAACAACAAAATTTTTATGTTGACACAAAGTTTTCGCATAAGAAATTATTTTAAGAGATTTTTAGGGGAAACTTTTAAATAATTTTTTTCTTAGCTTTGCTAAATATTCGGTTAGTTTTTGGGTTGGTTATTGGGTTTTAGGATTGTGGTTGTGGCATCAATTCATCAGTGCACAGTGGGCCTTAAATGAAAAAAAAATGTTATAAAAAAAATTTAAATTTAATTTTATTTTAATTTTTGGCACTTAAATACGATATGCAAATTTTTTTTAGTTTTAAAGAATAAAAATTATAAAGGAGGATTGGCAGATGGTAATATTCTGAGTAGAAAAATTGTGGATTCAAAATATTTCTCTTTTGTAATACTGAGAATCTGAATTTTTATACCCTCAGACATAGTTTGACGCAGCCAAAAATGTCTAATAGATTCAAAAATGGGTTGAAGTTTTGGAAATTCGAACAATTTTTATACCTCAGTCGTATGGCTCTCTTGTAATACTGAGAATCAGATTTTTTATACCTTCAGCCAGACAGGGCATATATCATTTGATACAGCCAAAAAATGCCTAATAGATTTAATGGTTGTACACCATCGATCTCTTTGGACCAAATCCATTTCAGGACATTTTGAGTCGATCTAGGATTCTCTGTTCGTCCATCTGTCTGTCCGCCTGGCTGGCTGGTGCGCACGATAACTCTCGAAGGGAGTATCTGATTTGGTCCAAACTTAAAACATCGTATAAATCATTTGATATGGCCAAATCATACCTCATAGAAATAATGGTTGTACACCATCGGTCTCTTTGAACCAAATCCATTTCAGGATATTTGGAATCGATCTAGGATTGTCCATCCGTCTGTCTATCCGCCTGGCCGCGAAGCGAGTATCCGATTTGATCCAAACTTTATACATTTTAATATTATTATCTAGCTTTTATCGAGTTCAGAGATGGACAGTATCGATCCTCTCCTTCGTGTACTTCCCCCATAAAAGCTGACAGCTAGGGTATAAAAAAGGTTGAAATTTTGGAAATTGGAACAATTTTTATACCTCCGTCATATGGCTAGAGAGGGTATATATCATTTCATACAGCCAAAACTTGCCTCATCGAAATAACAGATTTAGACCCTAGGTCGCTTTGGAATTCGTTTCAGGACATTTGTAGTCGATCTAACGATGTCCCTCCGTCTGTCTGTATTTTTTGGCTGGTGCGCACGATAACTTTCGAAGGGAGTATCCGATTTGGTCCAAACTTGGTACATCGTAATATGCTTATCATACTTAGATCAAGTTCGGATTCTGGTACCTCTCACACAAAATGTCAAAATTTCCAATAAAAAACCATTTACTGCAAAGAAAGCTCCAACTTTGCGAATCCTTATCTTTACATCAGTGCTACATCAGGTGCGATAATGGACAGTATCGGTCCACTCTATCAAGTACCTCCCCCACAAAGGGTCAATATTTTGAATAATAATAATTTTTATAAAGTATGATGTGAATGTCCGATACTTTCAAATTACACACATCACAATATTTTTCTTAACCCAAGGTCTGGTGTGAAGATGGAATATATCGGTCCATTTCTTCTGGTATCTCCCCCACAAAGGGTGAATATTTTGGCTAACCATGAAACTCATAAAACGCGAAATTAACATCCGATTCCATTCAGACTTGGTACACCTCTATATTTCAATCAACACAAGATGTGTTATAAAGATGGTAGAGATCGGACCAATCCTTCTGGTACCTCCCCCACAAAAGGTCAAAGTTTTGAATAACCAAAACTATCATAAAATCCGATATAAGCATCCGGTACCCTTCCTATGACACACATCCCATTAGTTTTACTGACATTATATATGCAGTAAAGGTGGGATATATCGGTCCACTCCTGCCTAATACATCTCCCAGAAAGGGTCAACATTTTGAATATCCATGAAGTTAATTAAACGCGAAATTAACATCCAAATCCATTCAGACTTGGTACACCTCGATATTTCCATCAACATAAAATCTGTTATAAATATGGTAGAGATCGGACCATTCCTTCTGGTACCTCCCCCACAAAAGGTCAAAGTTTTGAATAACCAAAACGAACATAAAATCCGATATAAGCATCCATTTCATATGACACACATCCCACTGAAGGTGGGATATATAGGTCTACTCTTTCTGGTACCTCTCCCAGAAAGGGTCAACATTTTGAATATCCATGAAGTTAATAAAACGCGAAATTAACATCCAAATCCATTCAGACTTGGTACACTTAATATTTCCATCAACACAAGATCTGCTATAAAGATGATAGAGATCGGGCCATTTCTTCTGCTACCTTCCCCACATAGGGTTCAAGATTTTGGAAACAAAACGCTCAGAGAAATGGAAATAAGCATCCATCCAAGCATCCAAATTTCACACACACAAAGATTTTTGCTAACACAAGATCTGTTGTGAATATGATATATATCAGCGGACCCCTTTAGGAAACCCACCCACAAAGGGTCACAACATTCAATATTTTTATCTGTCATAACTTGCGAAACAAGTCAGCGATTCTTCACCACTTGCTATGTCTAAATATTTCTCTCAACCAGAAACCTGAAATGAACCTCATAACAGAAGTCAAAATATATTTAAATAATCGAACATTGGCTGAGGGTATACAACTGTCGGCAAAACCGACTGACACTTTTAACCCGTTTTTATTATTATTATTTATTTATTTTTTTTTTTTTTTTGATTTTCTAAAAATGCATTTTTTTTTTTCAATTTAAAGCCCACTGTGCCTTGTTCCACGACCATGTTCTGCCACTTTTTACAATTTCTCCCAAAATTTACTTAGCAAAATTCACTTTTTGCCTCCTTACATTGTTTCACACTTTTCTCCCCCCTCCACATTCAATTCATATTCTAATTCTATTTTTCTTTTCATTTTTTCGCTCATTGTTGCTCTTCATTTACAGATTTGTCCTACAATCGGTTGGCCAAAGTTCCCAGCGATTCGTTTCTAAGTTTGACTAATTTGACTTTTCTGGATTTGTCGTATAACAAATTGGTGCGTTTAGAACCGCAGTCAGTGAGGCGTCTTAGCCATTTGCAAACTCTGAATATAAGTGGCAACGTGCACATGAATCTCCATGAAATACGAGAAACATTTGATGTAAGTAAAAAAAACTAAAAAAAAACATGAAAAGTTAAGAGCCAAAATATCAACGCCACACTAAGTAACTTTGCACACACACACACCGATTCACCATTACCATGTACTCACACACACACACACAGAAATCACCATACAAACCGTTTCTTTCACCCATTGTCCTTCGGCGTCAACATAAGACTTGGAGAAGAGAAAGAACAAATCAAAGAGACAGTTGTTGAAAAACCAGAAATCCGATATAAAAATCTAATGTCACCGGAATAAAGAAATTAAAAGGAAAAATTTTTCGAGAACTATTGTTCGGGGGGAAAAAATATCCTTAGAAATCAAGAAATATGAGATGCACTTTTGTGGTCATTTAAATGTTGAAAACACTTGCTGATGATTTCTGGGTTATCAGTTGGGGTTTTTGTTTGGGGGAAATTTTAAATAAACTTGATGAAGATGATTGTCATCAGCTTGAAAATATCAAAAGAAGTGGACTTGATTTGAAATATACTTGAAATAGGGCTAATATCAACATATGTATCAATTTCGATAGATTGACAGACATAAGGACATTGCTACATCGACATAGAATGTTACGCTGATCATACAATAATATACCCCGAAGTGTGTCACATTATTTATTTCGTATTTAGTAGTTCCTGTGGTAGAACATTATATAGGTCCGCGTTTTCCATAGAGTCCATATAAAAGCACCTCCAGATATTCGAAGTCTTGACGTTTTTCTATTGGATTTGTTGTTCGGTATTTGCAGTTCATAATGGGTTCTACTACCGATGTCAGAATATATTGGTCGGATGTTACCACCCGATATTTGGTATTTATACCCTACAATACTATGTGTTGGGGGTATTATAAGTTTGATTGGGCCAAAAATTATGTAACACCTCGAAATATTGGTTTCCCACATAGGAAGGTATATATGGATCTTCCTATCCCGCCGAACTGAGTCGATCTAGCTATATATGTCCGTCTGTCCATGTTAATTTTTAATCACTCTACAGGTCGCAATTGTAGCCCGATCTTCACGAAATTGAATATGGAGGTGGTGCTAGGGCCAGAATAGAAGCCTATTGCATTTGGAGATAACCGCATAATATTTAGGGGTTGAAATAGACCAAAAAAAATCCTGATTTGCAGTTGCTCTGTAGGTCACAATTATGCCCTAAACGACGTGTAAATTATATGGAGTTAGAGTTTAGGACTGGACAGAAGCCTACCAATTTGGGCGGCCATCGGACAATATTTAGCGGGTAAAATAGACCCTAACTTTAATGTAAGAAAATAGGAAAATTTCCATTAAACCGCGAATATTTTAAACCCCAGCCAAATTACAAATACATTAAAAGTCACTCCTGACCATTTAAACGATGCTGATAGCCAAGAAATTGTATATATAGCTAAATAGGAACAATATATATTTAAAAGAAAGAGATCTTATTTATTCTGCTTAAAAGTCAAAAACCGCCGGGCCGATTTTCACAAGATAAAATCTAAGAAAATCGCGGAAAAATATACCAATAAATGATTGAATATCTTTTGTTCCATTTTTTTCAATTTATGTCATATTTTTTATTGCATGCGATTTTTTCAATTTGACTTACAATTTTGAATTAAAAATTTTCTAAATTTTTACACCTCTCAACACTATGCTTGTCCGATCCTCACGAAATTACATGGGGTAGCTGGGGTCATTTTTAGTACGAATTATGGCCTTCAAACGGCCAATGAAGCCGTCACACGCTGCCCAAATGTTGCTTTGCGGTATTTTGGTCCATTTCCGGCGAAACGCTTGCTTGAGGTAATCGACACTTCGGTATTTTGCGATATATTCAGCTCAAGAGCCATTTGTCTGCCATTGCGACGCGGGCTTAGATAAAGTCGCTTCTTTACTTTTCGAACCATTTCTGCTGATGTTGCTGTTTTCTTCCGTCCACTTCCTTGACGTCGGACTACGCTACCAGTATCACGGCAACGAGCGTTGGTACGAGACACAAATGATTTATTCACATTGGAGTGCTCTAACGTTAGCCACATATGGTTTTCCAGCCAAATATAAAGAAATCACACTATCACGCTTGAATTCCATCACGAATAAATTCTGACCAAAATGCTTTTGTACGCTTGTAAACTATATACTGAGCTGTCACTGGAATAATTTTAACAGCTGTCGGACGAGTGGCTTAGAAATTATAGCAGTCTGAAGTTGGCTGAAGTTTTTTCATCTCACCCTCTGAATTTAAAAATTACATCTAAAATTAAAATTTTCCTGATTTTGCAGTCGTTCTTTAGGTCATAATTGAAAATCAATCGACACGGAATTTTGTATGAGAAGAGAGTTAAGGACAGGAAAGAAATCTAGAATTTTGGATGACAATTGGGTTGTATTTAGCTGTAAAATGGACAACAACTTTAGTGTGAATTTTCTTGAATATCCAATAAAAATAATAACACAGAATAAAGTTTATGAATTTCTATAGACGGAAATTTTATTCAAACCTGAGTTAAAATCGCCTGACTTCGTAATAAGGGTCCAATCTTAAGCTGGAAAATTAGAATATCATTTTTATTAATTCAATATTCTCTATTTCAAAATCTCAAGTAGACCTCACCTTCCTTCTCTTAAGAATTTATAGGAATCAAATTTCACACTTACGTTCATATTTAATTAAAAGCGTGCGATCTTTACTCATACCCATCTCATGACAATACGACATGGTAAAATTTTCTATTTCAGTAGCAAATTTTGTGAAAATATTCTATTCCTGTCACGATTGCCAGCGTAGACGTGAAATTAAATTCTTGAAAGATTTGGTGTCAAATTTAATTCTATTCATTTAAATAACAAACACAATATTTATATAAGCCATTTTTTTGTAATATACCTTCATCCCCAAATCCCAATTGATTACCGCCACCGAATTAAATAAATATGTGTGAAACAACAATGATAAGCTGAAACCACAAAAGTGTTCATAAGACCTTTTTTGTGTGTATGTGTGTGGTCGCAATAATAAAAATTGACTCAATTTAATTTCAAATTGTTTAAGCAATTGAAACATAAACATGTTATCCCTGTTCAAAACAACTACAAACAAATGAACCTTTTTGGGATAAAATAAAAAAAAATCTACATTGTGGGGAGAAAAGCTGAATGTAAACTTTTTTAAAAGCCCATGTGGATTCATAAAAACACACCTACCCCTCCCACCAACAAGGGAATAAAATCCCATAACCTAAAAAATACCAACATTTTATTTTAAATCTCTTTGCAAGGTTTCAAAGATTTGTAAGCCTAAGCGAACCAAACGATATCATCCATTACACAATATTTTCACATATTTTTTATTATTTTATTTAAGGATATTTACCAATTTTTCCTTTATTTGCTCATCTCTCTGCCATTTTTGTGGTCTTTCTTGTCTTTTTACAGCTTTTGCCGCACCTGACACATCTCTCGATTGCCGATATGAATATATTGCCGGTTGGTTTGTTAAATCCATTTAAGCATTTACGTTATTTGAATATATCCGGTAATCATTTGGATGTTATGTCCTTGCAAGTTATTGAGCCCTGCCAGGAGCTGGAGGTAAGTTAATGGCCAGAAGGCACAATGCCATGAGCAGCCAGAGCACCACAACACACACCATTACCATCTTCGACAGCAATGGTAGCCATATGAATAATCATAAAGTCACGGTGAATGCTGGCGGAGATTGTGGTGGAGGTGCTCATGCATATAAAGAACCCAAACTTTATGAATATCCACCCACAACACTCATCTGTATGGCCGTTGTCTGAGGCTGTGCGTGTACGTCACAGATACAAAATATTCGAACATAAGGCCTTGGACGAAAAAGTAGAAGATGGAGAGAAAACAATAAAATGCAATCATAAAATACTTGAGATACGTGCAAACATTTTTTTTGTCTGTTCTCCTTCTCAACTTAACCGATATCTTTTCTCATTTTCTGCAAGCAGCACATCGTGTATTCCTCTCCCGCCATTAAAGTCACTTATTTTCTTGATATTGTAAATTGTAAATGTGACCCAAAGACCAAGACCAGAAGTGCTGAGTGTTATGGCCATAAATCGCATCACAGCCATAATATGCAAATTATATATTTCAAAATCGTATAAAAACAATTTGTTTTTGGGAGATGGTTTCACACAATTTGAGGTTGTTTTTATTCGATTTTTTTTTTGTGTAAAATTTAGAAATAGACCACCAAAGGTGGATTTTTTTAAAGAATTTATCGCAAGGATCAATAGACCATCAAACATATGCATATTTTAAGGAATTTTTTCAAGCACCAATAGACCATCAAACGTGGATTTTTAATTTTTTTTCCAATAGATCATCAAACGTGGATTTTTAAAAATTTTTTTCGAGGACCAATAGACCATCAAACTTGGATTTTTAATTTTTTTTTTCGAGGACCAATAGACCATCAAGCTTAGTCTTTTTAATTTTATTTATTTATTTACTAGCTGGCCCGGTCCGCGTTGCCGGCCCGTAGTTTTAGCCTTTAATGCAAATTTTGTATAGCATAATTTTTCACAAATCTGGCTCATATAGGTGAACAAATTTTAACATAAATATTTATCCGACTAAATAGAAATAAATACCTATGGAAGGAGGACAAAATAATTTCTGAATAGTCAAAGTTAATTACGCTTTTACACCCATTACCAGAGCACCTCAGATTGCGCTTTAGAGTCCCGAAGAAGTCTATGTTCTTGTTCATACTAAAATTCAATGACGAATCAACAGTGTCCATGTTGTTGTCCGCCAATCGGTAAAAATTACTATAGATCGGCGGCCCTGGGATCTATATGGGGACTGTACCAAAATATTTACCTATGTTGACATTTTTCTGTAAGATGGTCCTCTACTCACAAAGTAGCCTAAATACAGCAAAATAGATTGGAAAATGTGGTCAAGACCCTCGAAGTAGAAAAGCCAAGATGCCAAATAAAGGCCAAATTAGTTGAAAAACGTGGCCAAGACCACGGTCATAGCTGAAATCAGGGATACATTCATATGAGGGTTATACCAAAACATGACCCAACCAATATTCTCTTGGGGAGTTACAAATTCAATAGAATACAAAATTTCCTTTTCTGACCACACATTAGATGTGAAAGTGGACTTGGGGATACTCCAATGTGGGGACTTTACTTAAATAAATTCCGATGTGGCAATTATCTGTATGATGGTTCCCTACTCCAGGGTAGCATAAATACAATTTTTAGCCAAATCAATAAATGAATGTGGTCAAGACCAAAATGGGCCCTACTCTGAAAAATTAAAATTTTATGCGAAGAGGTTCTCTACCCACTTAGAAACAAAAATGCCAAATAAGAGCCAAAATATGAAAAAAAAGTGGCCAAGACCCCAAAAATAGCTTTAATCATACGATTGTTATATAAATATGAAATCGGGTTGTACCTTATTCCGTGAGTTATGATCGATATCATGACCTGCAAGAGCGATTTAAGGTATCTTGAATGTTTGGAAAGAATTTCTGGAAGGATAGAAATCCTTTTCTTATTAAAAGTCCCATTCGCTCTACTATTTTGCACCATTTAAATTTGGCATTTTACTGATTGTACTCCCAAAGAATTTTGCATTTTGAGCTCTCATTGAACGGATTATTGTCACATGAAAGAAGTAGGTCCACGCTTTTAAATGAGCCCAATTAGGCTTATTCGGTCATTTTTGATTGTTTAAATGTGTTCGCATCTTCCAGCTGAACCACGATGTAGGCCCTGGAGTTGAAAGGTAGATGTCAGTTAACATCCTATTTCGCACTTATTTACTTTTTTGTAAAAAAATTGTATATAGTGAAAAATTATTCTTTATTTTGTTCACAAAAAATTCATTGAATTCAATATGATAATACAAATTGAAAAACAAATTGACAAAAGAAGAATAACAAATTGAAAAAATCTTCAACTTGTTCGCTGACTTTTTACAGCAAATGTTTAAAGATCCTTACAACGTTTGTCAATGGAATGTACTATTATTTTAAAATTCGATTCCATTGAAAATTTTTTTCGATTTTTTCCCGATTTGAGAATTTTTGCAATGAGATCTCTTTTTCGTGATTTTTTAGCGATTTTGAAAAAGTAATTATCTTTTAACTTTGGTGTGACCGCGTTAAATTGTTTCGATATCCTCTATTCCGTTTCGCCACCACATAATTCGGTACTACACTTCCATGTAACCCGCCATCAAATTCAGTTCTCAAGAAATCAAGTCAATTTAATAAATTGGTATTAATATTTGAATTCAAAAATAAAATATAAAAAACACTACAAATGTACATTAGAAAAAAGTAAGTCAAAATGGAAAAAATCATGCAAAATAAAACATTACTATTGTACATTTCAAAAGTCAAAATGAAAATGTTAATATATCACATTTTTACGCGATTTTTTTGAATATTATCCTATTCGGACAGAAGACAATTCCGAATTTGTATGAATCGTTAAAATCAGTCCAGCGGTTCTTAAGTTATAAGCGTAGTAACTAACACAACTTTCTTTTATATATATAGATTTATTTATTTTTTTTTTTTTTTTTTTTTTTTTTTTTTGTTTGAGGACCAGTAGACCATACAAGGTGGATTTTTATATATTTTTTTATATTTTTTTTTATTTTTTTATATTATTTTTATATATATATATATATATATATATATATATATATATATATATATTTTTTTTTTTTTTTTTTTTTTTTTTTTTTTGTTGAGGACCAATAGACAATTAAACTTAGATTTTCAAAAATTTTTTCCGAGGATCAATAGATCATCAAACGTGGATTTTTCAATTTTTTTTTTTCGAGGACCAAGAGACCATCAAACGTGGATTTTTCAAAAATTGTTTTCGAGGACCAATAGAACTTTAAACGTAGATTTTTCAATTTTTTTTAAGGACCAATAGACCATTAAAAGTGGATTTTTTCAAGAATCATCAAAAGTGGATACTTGGATTTTTTATGGAAAATTTTCAAGGACATCAAATATGGGTTTTTAAAGAAATTTTTCAAGGACATCTAAAATGGATTTTTGAAAGAATTTTTCTCAAAAACCAATGGACCAATATTCTTCAATTCAATATTTTATTCTAAAAGTCCCAAATCCACCTATTCAAGTGTTCAAGATTGTAACTTAATTTGCAAACAATTCTACTTGTCGGACCAACATGTTGCGAATTTTCAAAATTCTTTTTAACGCAATGTTACACGATAATATTGTTTTCATGCCTCCTACATACGATTACTAGCAAATATCTACAACTTCGTGAGCAAAAAGTCCACATTAAAATTTAATAATCGTTCCAACGATTCGTGTTAGGTCTTTTTGATAAAATGCAGTTTGACAAAAATTTTTCATATAAACTTTATATAATAATTTCTTAGACTAACAATATTTTATATATTATTCAAGTTTTTCCCTTTTCGGAAAGAATAATAAGAAAAAAATTACCTTCACACCAAAAAATTTTCACCCAATACCCAATTCGGAATCATTTAGCATTTCATAACGCATTTGCAAAACCGGCACAAATACTTCAATACCAAATTTCAAAATTGTCAGGTACTTCCACCAACAATGACATTTATATTAAATATCAAGATTCTTACTATATTCTTTTACCCAATACAAAATTTAGTACTTTCCGTACAATCTCAATTCCAGATACCAACTTTAATTTCAAATTTGAGCCCTATGCCTTCACTCAATACCATTTTAAGTACCATTTAGTATTTTCATATGAATACAGAACGCATTTTGAAAACCACCTCCATATATTACCCACATTTACCAAAATATTAAATTTCCGAATTGTATCTCTATCATTTCAACAAATATTAAATTTAGTACTTTTCGTACAATTATAGAACACATTTTCAAAACCACCTTCAGTTCACCTTCAATTTCAGATACTAACAGATACCTCTACATCAAATTTGAGGATTCCAGCCCTATCCCATCACCTAATATCAAATTGAGTACCTTTTAGTACATTTTGTACAAACATATGACGCATCCAAAACCACCTCCATATTTTAATCGAAGATGTTAACATCGACATCTACATCAAATTTCAGAATTGTATCGCCATTTCTTCACCTGATACCAAATGTGGTACAATTTACAAATTTTCGTACAATTATAGAACACCTTTCCAAAAACCATCTTCGTATGTCCAGGCAGCACATGAACGGTGACCCTAATACAAAATTTAAGATTTCAAACAGTATCTACTCGCCCACAATAAATCTACTCAGCTACAATAAAAAATTGTACCAAATATAGTACTATTTAATACTTTTGGTGCACTTTTGGTACACATCTCCCAAACCACCTCTTTACCACAAAACCTACCACAACAACCACGGACCCCAATGAAAAATTTCAAAATTCCAGCTTCATCCGTTCACGTTAAACCGAACTGTTTCAAATTGAACACCTTTTAGTACAGTTTGCACACATTCATATATCTAACTTACTTTCCAACATTGATTCTTATACCGGATTTAAAGTTTTTAAATCTATACATTCATATAATACCAAA